ATCATCCGTACTGTTATGTATACCGGAGAGCTGTGCAGCACGGAACGACGTTGTCGTCGTCGTTGTCGCGCGCGGAGCTATACCACTATGTCCGACTCGTATGTAGATATTACCAGTGCACGGCCCAACTTTCTCTCTCTGTCTATCTCTCTCTCTCACTCTGGCTGCTGCAGCATTATATGATACATACAAAACTTGGGATGCTGCGGCTGTCTGTGTGTGTGTGTGTGTGTGTGTCTGGGCGACGCTCTGATATTAAGTTGCTCTGTGCTGTGCAGCTATTGTGCTGTATTAAGGTACATCTTGTACGTCCAGGTTTGATAAATGCCTCTGCTGCTACTGCCGCGAAGCTTAATTATTACCGTTACCCCCGTGATATCTATATTATCTCACGAATCAGAGCGCAGTATATTTGTATAGTTACGGCGTACTCTTTTGTCGCTGTTTGTTTTTTAATGGCTAATTAAGATTGGCGTTTCGACGAAAATATTATTACGATTACGACGCGGGGGCTCGATACAACAACAAAATGCGGCACTTGCTGCCGCTGCTGCTGCGCGCATTATTTATGCGCTTTTTTCCACCTGGCTCTTTTATACAGTCAATTTTCCTTTTGCGCATATTATACTTTATGCTGCTGCTGTTGGCTCTCGACTTTGCTGCGTCTCTCTCTCTCTTTCTCTGTGAGAAAAGAAGCTTTCTCGATATGTTAGCGAAACATGAAGGCAAACGTTCGTAGCATGCATATTTTCGCTTCGCCGTGTACGACTGTATGCGCATTTTACTTCTCTCTCTCTCTCTCTCTCTCTCTCTTGCTCTTATTCGTGTTCGTCCCTGAGTGGCCGGAGATAAGACGCGAGCCCAGTGTTGTTGTTGTTTTTTTTATGCATCTTTTTTTACCTCGGCATTTCGCATTATGTATACATGTACGTCTATATACTTTTCTTTCCTTTTGCGCCTCTTTACCGTGCACACGTATATCCACGCGTGTGCAGCACGTCTGAACACACAAAACGACCGTATACAGCAGAGAGATTCTTTGATCGAATCGTCGTTGTCGCAGTAATATACAAGAGAGGAGATTTCGTTTGAATTTCTTCCAGTTGAACGTCTGCATTTATGCATCATGTGTGTGTGTGTGTGTGTGTGTGTACAATTGAACGGGGTGGAATCACGCGCGGGGCCGAGCTTGCAGCAGCAGCAGCACACACCGACGTCAAAGTTTGATACGCAGAGAGAGAGAGAGAGAGAGAGAGAGAGAAAGAGAAAGAGACGTAAAATCGTAATACACTCGTCGTGCACGCTCGACGTAATACAACATTGTAATTTGCCAAATGGCATGACATTATATTTTTCAGCCGCTGCCGCTGTTGGACTTTTCATGCAAGCGTATTATACATACACAGTCGGGGTTTATTAAACTTTTAAAACTTCTGGCGCGCGCGCGTACAGCTACGAATATACAACTACGTTATATACGGCGCGGAGAGGGGCGCAGAAAAAAAAACAGCAACAACGACAACAACTACAACGAAACAAAAACAAAAAAAAAAAAAAAAAGNAAAAAAAAAAAAAAAAAAAAAAAAAAGTAGCAGGTAGAAGAAGAAAAAAAAAGTAGCAGCGGATGGAAAAAGAAGTGGCGTTGCTGCACTTTTATTCTTTTCCGATTCGTACATAAACATTGCGCCCCGCGAACGCCCAATGAAAAAGCCACTTGGTTTTCATACTTTTCTTTCTTTTTTCTTTTCTTTTCTTTTTTTTTTTTTTATTATCTCTGCGTCGAAGCTCTACTGCGNTTTTTTTTTTTTTTTTTTTTTTATTATCTCTGCGTCGAAGCTCTACTGCGCGCGGCGTAGAGAGAGAGAGAGAGAGAGAGAATCCGATTATCCGTGAAGAATTTTCGTTTAAACAAATTTTCCCTTCCTTCTCTACTTTTCGTTGCCCTATTTTACTACTGTAACTGTTTTTTCCAATTTGCATCTCGTCAAGAAGAATAAGCAGAAAAAAATAAAGGGCACGCGCACAAGTTTCGCGCTGCATTATAGCCGACCCGAATCATAATAATTCATCTCGTATACACATATATGCCCGCACGCGCGCGAAGAAAGGCAAGATAAACTTCAAAAAAAAAGTAACCACACGAATTCGACTAATTTCCTCGCGAAAAAGCTCGAATCATCGCGTATACGTATCGTATATATGTACCTATATAATACGCGTAACACACTGTGTGCCGTGTGTACGCGCGCTCCCACCCGCACTTTCAGTTGTGTGCGGGTGTGTGTGTGTGTGTGTGTGTGTGTGTGTGTGTGTGTGCGTGCGTGCGTATGCCGTTATATAGCCAGCGCTCATTGCCCCCGTTCTCACACATCTATGATAATACGTGTCTGTGTGTGTGTGTGAGAGCTTTTGCCGATATGCACTTGCGGAGCACAGGCAGTAGTAGTAGTAGTAGTAGTAGTAGTCCGCGGCGCGGCCGTTGCACGCGAGGAGGAAAGCTCGACGGGTTGGTGGTGGTGGTGGGGGAGAGCACACAGTGCAGGCTAGCGAGCTTTTTCACGATGACGTCACGGCGTGCGGCTCGTGTTACTATAGTAACTCGGCGGGTGGCGCCTGCGTACTCCGCCGCGACGATCCGTTGCTGCTGCCGAGCTTTCACCTAGTAGAGCCAGCAGTGCAGCGGAGCTGCAGGCCCCCGCCGCCGCCGAACTCTCGTATTATGTATGCGCAAAATTGACAGCCTTTCAAGTTTTTGTTTTTATTTTTGGGACGATGCGTGTAAAATATACGAGAGCTCGCGAGTAAAAAAGAAAAAACGATGCGCTTCCAATGTCCATTTAATTAAAAAGCTCGCGTATCAGCGCCTTATCGAGGGAGAAAAAAAAGCTCCGAGATCGCGTGTATTTACGTTGTCGATGCAACGAGCGCGCGCGCATTATAATTGTAGTAGTAGATGGAACAGTTATAGTGGTATATAGTAACGGTAGTTGTTCAGAGAGAGAGAGAGAGAGAGAGAGAGAGAGAGAGTAAGGTAGAAAAAGGGGTGGGGATGGTCGCCCGTACAGCAGCAGCAGCAGCAGCAGCGAAGTCTGGATACGCTGCTGCTCCGCGCGATCTGCTCCGTTACTGCTGGTTCTCAGTCGCGAGTAGCCCAACTCATCGAGCGGCTCGCGCTCCGCCCCACCGACGAGTGAGCGAGGAGTGCTTGCCCAAGCGAGCGAACGAGTGCGATTGCCCTGGGCTTTATCTCGTTCAAGAATAATATAAGAAAAAAAAAAATTATTAAGAAAAAAAAACCGAGAAGCATAAAACGGAGAAAACGAGGGGAACGACTTTACGCGCGTATATGTATACATAAAAAAAAAAGCTCGATTGTATACGCGGTGTGGTGTTGATAGTAGTAGGTGTCTGTGCGGTGGTGGTGTGTGTTTTTGGTGTCGATACATATACGGCGCGAGACACGCTCGTAAAAAAGAAAAATAAATAAAATATCATAATATATCGCCTCACTTTTTAGAGAAGCTGTGTTTTCCGGGGAGAAAAAGAGTCCTCCTTTTAACCCCTCCTCGACTAAAAAGAGTGCGCGCGTGGTCAAATGCCCCGTCGTCGTTCGTGTCTATATAGACAACTGCACCCCGTCGTCGACTGCACACACCACTGAAAGCCTCGCGCGTTCTTGTGCTGGCTACTGGTGCTGCTGAACCCACCAACGCCGCCGCTGCAGCCGCTCTGACACCACCCTCCTTCTGCCGTCCTCTGTCTGTCTGTCTGTCTGTTTCTCGAGTGATCAAAAAGTAAAAAAATTAAAAATGAAAAAAAAAGAATTTCCAATCCTCGATTACCATAATAATATAAATAAATAAATGTGAAAAAAAAATTTATCGATAGCATATCTGTGAGTGAGCTTACACCTGTCTCTCTGTTCCGTGTGTTGCATCGACCTTTCCCGCGCCTCGTTGTTGTAAACGTGTGCGTGTAGTAAAAATACAAAACAAACGTACGCATCTCTCCATCTCTCGCACACGCAGAGCAGAAAGCAGCAGCAGAAGAAGCAACGGCCGCAGAGAGCAGCCAGAAGCCAGCAGAGCAGCACACAACCAGCAGCAGAGCTCTTTCTGCTACATATCGATCCGCGCGTGCGGCTGCAAGCTCTCGCTCCTCTATAGCGTCCCGCAGAGGCAGCAGCAGCAGCAGCAGCATCAGTGTCAGAGGCTGTGGTGTACGGCTCCGCTGCTCACGACCTCTCGGAGTCAGATATATATACACACACACAGACATCGGAGTGCGAATAGAGCAAAATAAATTATATATTTAAAGTAGATAAAAATTTTTAGAAAATCAAGAGCGCCATGATACGACGTCGTCGTCGGCGTGTGGCTGTAAAAATCGCCAGATAGCCAGTTGTGTGTCTGTGTATGTTAACTACTTCTGTATAGAAGGTGTGTGTGTGTGAGAAAATAAAGCAAAGCCAACAGGCTGTTGGAGAGCCGAGGCATGCAAGATAAAGGTTAGGGTCAGTGGTCTATATTCTCTACTATCGGCTGACTCTCGAGCTGTTGCTGCAGTTTAATAATAAGTAAAAAAAAAAAAAAAAGGGTACACAACATACCGCACCAGAGACAGAGAGAAAGAGTTCAATCGCATCCGAGATGCTGCCGAAGACTGGCGGTAAAATCGGTGGAAGGAGGCAATGTTACTGGCTGCTCAGAGTGAGACGAAGACACCCCGCTCCGGTAAAGTTTACCACAACGACGTGTCCTCGTCCCGAATGACCCAAGTGTTATGAAAATCGTTGCGATCGGTGTGTAAATCGTATGATAAAAAGTATACATAAATTTGTATCGTTATAATTGTTGGGTGCGCGAGTGCCGAATTAATACAAAAGAAATGTGCGACGTGCGTGACATAAAGATCAATTAAAAAAAAAAAAAAAACAAAGTAGCATGCGGCGGGACAGCCACCATCTGTAATAATACTCGAGTGNTCCAAAAAAAAAAAAAAAAAAAAAACTAAGTAAGCCAGCAGCGCGGCCATGGCATCGGTAGCGGCCTGGCTGCCGTTCGCTCGGGCCGCGGCGATCGGCTGGGTGCCGATCGCCACTCATCCCCTGCCGCCGCCGCCCATCCCCAAGGATCGTCGCAAGGCCGACGACGAGAAGCTCCTGATCAACGTGTCGGGCCGGCGCTTCGAGACCTGGCGCAACACCCTCGAGAAGTATCCGGACACGCTGCTGGGCTCGAACGAGCGCGAGTTCTTCTACGACGACGAGACGCGCGAGTACTTCTTCGATCGCGACCCCGACATATTCCGCCACATACTCAATTATTATCGCACGGGCAAGCTGCACTATCCGAAGCACGAGTGCCTGACCTCGTACGACGAGGAGCTGGCGTTCTTCGGCATACTGCCGGACGTGATCGGCGACTGCTGCTACGAGGACTATCGGGATCGCAAGCGCGAGAACGCCGAGCGCCTCATGGACGACAAGCTGTCGGAGAACGGCGAGCAGAATCTCCAGCAGCTCACGGACATGCGCGAGAAGATGTGGCGCGCCTTCCAGAATCCGCACATATCCACGGCCGCGCTCGTCTTCTACTACGTCACGGGCTTCTTCATCGCCGTCTCGGTGCTGGCCAACGTCGTGGAGACGGTGCCGTGCGGCAATCGGCCGGGCCGCGCCGGCACTCTGAGCTGCGGCGAGCGCTACAAGATCGTCTTCTTCTGCCTGGACACGGCGTGCGTGATGATCTTCACGGCCGAGTATCTGCTGCGACTGTTCGCGGCCCCGAGCCGCTGCAAGTTCGCCAGATCGGTCATGTCCATCATCGACGTCGTGGCCATTCTGCCCTATTACATCGGGCTCGGTATCACGGACAACGACGACGTGTCGGGGGCCTTCGTCACCCTCCGGGTGTTTCGCGTGTTTCGCATCTTCAAGTTCTCGCGCCACTCGCAGGGATTGAGGATCCTCGGCTACACGCTCAAGAGCTGCGCCAGCGAGCTCGGCTTTCTCGTGTTCTCGCTGGCCATGGCGATCATCATATTCGCCACGGTGATGTTTTACGCGGAGAAGAACGTCGACGGGACGAACTTCACCTCGATACCGGCGGCCTTCTGGTACACCATCGTCACCATGACCACGCTCGGGTGAGTATATAGAGTAAAATCTATCAGGCTATAATGAATATCCGAATCAAATTTTGCGGCTAATACGCGGAGGGGTCAAAGCTTGCAAGCTCGACGACGACGACGAATACATAAAAGAAAAAAAAACGAAGGAAATAAGCGAGTAGTCGGTTTATATAGAGAGCTGCTGCTGTTGGTACATAAATGTCTGACGTCAGTCGTGTTATAAGCTCTCTTGCGCTTCAAACACATTCAGCACACTCACACACACGCACACACATATATACGGACTGCACCATGTGCCGCAGCCAGGACAGGTCCAAGCCAAGCTTTAAAGCGCGCAGCAATTCAAGGAGTGTAGTATATATAGCGATGCGATGCGCGCACGCACTCGTCGTCGTCGTTCACTTTTCTCTATACATATACACGACGAGCGAGAGACGCGAGACGCTTTCTCGCTGGCTCGCTCTTGCGTGTACGTGTATGCGTGTGTGTGTGCTATATATCGCTATTACTACTGCCACCTACTATACATACTATTTTACACAAAGTCGGTCAAGTTCGCGCGCGCACTCCAAGCAGCAGCAGGCGAGGAACTGCTGCTTCTCTCTCTCTCTCTCTCTCCATATATACAACGTTATACGTATACGCGCGCGGCACTTTATGAACTACGTATATGTACTTTTTATTCTTGAAAGGAGCTTTTTTTTTGCATCGAGTCGCGCTCGTCCTCCCCCTTTTTTTTACGTAAAAAAAAAGCAGAGATTCGATTCCGCGCATGCAGCAGCAGCAGCATCAGCGTTCGTTGGCCGGGCGCGCATTCATTATCGCGCATCGTTATTTATATTTATTTTTGACTTTTCGATTCCTACAGAATGGATAAATCTTATATATACCGAGCGGGTGAAAAACGTATTAAATCCGCGAGCTTTTCCTCTCTTATATATGCGAGCTCTCTTCTTCTAGCTATATAAGCTCATAGATAAGCGCGCGCGCGCGCGCGAGATTTAATTAAAAATCGGAGTCGAGCACAGAAAGCTCCACCGGGGGTGCGTTTGTCCGTACGTGTCTGTGTATACGTATGTGTGTGTGCGCGTGGTGCAGAGAGAGAGAGAGAGAGCAAGCATGCATAATTAATGCGGATTTCGTAAAATATATGTGCGTATGTGTGTGCGTGTGTTCGTTGAATCGAGGCTATTTGTCACTCGCGCCATATATGTGCACGTAAACCTAGAGCGCCGTTTAATGCTATTATACACCACCATGGCCCAGGCTAATTGTTTTTCCAGACATACATCGTATCGATTAACGAATCTTTTTCACCCTTTGACACGATAAAATTTCTTTATCGGAATAAAAGATTCGCGTATACGACGAATAAATAAATGTAATAAGTTCAGAAAATATATAGGAGAAAGGAGGGATAGAGAAAGTCGGTAGTGTGCAGAATATAGCGTATATATAGCGTACACACACGGCTCTTACCTCTCTTCAAGTAATTGGCTCCATGTAAAGCGCCTCGAGCTCAGCCGCCGCCGTCGTCTTCTTCTTCTTCTCTACTCTACACATCCATACGTATACACAAACATACACGTACATACGTATTATAGCTGCTGTTCTGCTCCGCTTGGTGTATTTTTAACCCTTTTGCACCTTATATATCTCACTATCTCTATCTCTCTCTTTTTTGCATGTGCTACAAAGCTCGTCATAAAAAAAAACACACACATATCATACGATAATGATCCATATGTTGTCATATGCGTATCTTGTTTTTCATACCCTTGAATAATACACATTATTATTTGTACTTTGATGCCGCACTTTGTGGGTGTGTGTGTGTGTGTGTGTGTGTTCAAAGTCAAATCCGAGAACGAAACGGATCTTATTATCAAAAGCTCGATGTAATGCAATACGCGCGCTGCTGCAGCTCCAAGTTTCGTTTTGCTAAAGGACTGCGCCGCCGCCGCCAGTAGTAGAGTTGATCTTGCCCTTCAACAACACAAAGTCCTTATCAACAATTTTGTAGGGCTTCCGTTACAATCATCGTAGCGCACTCGACGCAGCGCGTTGCTCGAGTTTTCACTTTTTCATATCGATATATTATTCGAACTTGACATTCCCCGAGCCCTTGAAAACAAAAGATTCGCTCGCTCGCGCGCACGCAGCAGCTGTGTGTACTACTTATCATCAACAATTTTTATGGCTTTCGTTGGCAATCAGCCGCTCGCTCGTCTAGCGAAGTTTATCGTTTTCCATATTAAATTATCCGAGCAAGAGAAGTATAATTTGAACTTAACATTGGCGCCCTTGAAAACGCGCGTCAAGGTAGACGCAAAGACGGTAGGTATCTGTCTGTGGGCTCCTCTGGCTCTCGTGATCGACAGACGTAGCTACTTCTGGCTTTTCCAGGGGCAAAAGTACATAATTGCAATTATAATCGAGTTGCGAGAAGCGAGTTTGTAAACGGGAAAGCCGTTGTAACGCTTCCCCGCACGAGCGATGTATACACATACGTATAGGCAAATTATAATATGGAACTGGAATCGAAGAAGTACATTTGATATCTGTCTTGACCTTTATCGCTAGCTGGCTCAAAGGTGCGCCACGTGTGGCTCGATACAACGTCATCAACTCGTCGTCGTCGTCGTCGTCGTCGTCGCAGTACGCAAATGAATATTTTCGAAACTTCTTTCGCTGCTGCTGCGCAGGGGTTTCGCTTGATATATAACACGGGCTCGAGTTAAAATTGAAAGTCGTATATGCGCGTACCTCAATCTATCTCTCTAGAGCTCTAGATTTTTCCCCCATATACACCTACTTTTCGATGCTCGCTGCTGCTGCTGCTACTGCTGCTGTGGCGCGCGGATGAGAGAGTGTCAAAGTGCGGATTATCCAGGCGAAATGAGCGACACGGGGCGAGGGATTAAGAACGAGCTAGCTGCGCCAGCGCGAAAAATGAATCGAGTACAATAGTGTGCCGCCCGAAATCTCGAGTACAAACAAAACTCCCCCGAAGCTGCATGCGCGAATGCTTCGAGCGAGCTTTTTGCAAGCTCTCGCGTAGCGTCGAGTCAATTGCTGCGCGCGCGCGCCAAGTATTTCAATAATGGAAAGATTTTTTAATGAACTATTCGCGCGAGCAGACCCGCGAGTTTCATAACTTTCTGTATTACAAAAATTGCGTATCGAAATTTTTGAAATCGTCGGCGTCATCGATTTCATTGATCGACGCGCTGCAGATATAAGTACGTATAGTAATTAGCACCTCGCGCTTTTTTTGACTCGGGCAGGAATGCAGTATGAAAATTTAATGCACGAGCTGCAAAATTTACAAAATATGCGCACCTCGCGCTTGGCTCGTTTAATTGCGTAGATGTATTATATAACTACTCCATACTTCGTGCTGCAGGGAAAAACACACAAGGGCTCGGCGGGACGCTCGCGCGAAATTCCTCAAGAGAGTTGAGCAAAAGATACATGTATTATATATATATATATATATATATATATATATATATACGCGCAGCGGACTTTTCGTACTGGTGTACGAACCGTATAGTACACACACGTATATACGTGTGTATGTATGCGTGCGCGGTGTATTATATACATAAAAGACCAAGCAGCTGCTATACCGCTCGGCTGGGCGGTTGGTGTGCTTTTAACGCGGTTAGCGTGATTAGTAAACTCGGTGACCAGTTTCGGGGAGGGCTCCTTTGCTGCCATCGTCGGTTTTGCAACGGCACACAACACACAAACACACATACGAGGCACATAAATACGATCAAGCGAGCGAGGTAAACTTTATTTCAAAGAAATTACACATCTATGTGGTTTATACGTTGTTGCCTCGACTATTTTTCTTTTTGTTCGTAGAAAACAGCTTCGAGCTTGCAGTCGCAGCCCTTTCGCTGCTTAATTATTCACCAATCGTCGTTCGCGTTCTCATTCCTTATTCTGCTGCTCCCTGCTACCACCGAGCAGCGAACGTTTTGGCATTAACGCAGAACTCGTGTTTATGTCTAATTCGCCCTTTGCTCGGTAAGCGTTTAAGTTCGCGTCGTCGTGCGGTGACGATCTACCCGCGCGCGATATTACCACCGCGTGCTGAACTGCTACCAGAGCTAGCTATATAGCTATAGCTAGCTACTACCAAGCTGCCAAATGGCCCTTGGCACTGGCTTTCGGCCTCTAGCTGAGGGTTTATTGCGATTACATCCCTTTAAAAAATTTGTCTCCCTCCGCAAAGATGCTTCAGCTCTCTGCCGAAAACGAATGCGTATAAATAGGAAAAAAGCTCGAAAAGCGTAACCGCGCGCGCGTTTAAATGGAAATAAATCCGTGCGCGCGGCGCCGAAAGTTGCTACACATGAAAAACGAGGTATTACGACGTAATACATCGATATGTAAGCGAGCGATCGCCGTGTGCAAGCTCTATGAATTTTAATGAATGGCTCGCTCTCGCTCGAGCGATCGATTTATGCTCGGGTCTGTGCCGTACAAAAAAAAGCTCAGCCCGAGGTACGCACGCGGGCATATCACATACGCATTTGGGTTTTGGCGAAAAATACATTATATTTTTTTTATTTTTTTTTCTCGACCACTGCGCGCAATTCACATACTGCAGGCGCGTTACATTACATACGTACGCGCTCGCAAGCTCGCTCGCGTTGGCTCGCATCCAAACTGATGCACTTAAAGCCGAGCTAGACACGAGACGCGAGCTGCACGAGACGTCTTCTAGTATAGCGGCCAGCGACGGCGGCGGCGGAGGCCGACGAGTTGATGTATGCGCGCACACAATTTCCCGCCGCCACCCGCGAGCTTGGAGCGAGAGAGAGGGAGAGAGAATATCGACACGATCATCCACGCGCAATGGCAAAAACGAGCTTCGAGATATTTTATCACACGCACACCCAGAAACCCATATTACATATCGTCGGCGCGTGTGCATAAATGGCATGTATAACGAGAGGTTGAAATCGTACTGCTGCGCGAAAGTTTAAACACGTGCGGCG